GGGTTAATGAAATCTTCATTTAAATAGGAATTCATCATTCGCTCACTTGTTCCAGCTCCAGTGACACAAACAATTATTTTAATTAAACTAAGCTGCACGCCAATAATCAATAATAATTTGGGGCTTAAACAAGTTTAATTCCTCTATTAATATGGTATGATCCCTGCACAAGATTTACTTAACAGCTAATACATCTGGGATAGTTTTTCATAATACCAGTTAAATAGGAACATGAATATTAACATATCCTTTTTCCTGTGCCAATATCCTGAATACAGTAGTTTGTATATTGTTACAATTGCACTCAATGCAAGAAATGTCTTTTCATTTTTACATAGGCTATTTGTGTGTGCTGTACATTTGTTTTATTTTGTATTATTTTATTTTTATATTATATTAGATGTCTCATACAATAATGTGTCATTATTGATGTCTGTTTTAATTAAAATGTTTTTATTATTAATGTGATGGATCTAGTGCGAATGGGAAAACCGATTTGCATTTTATTTTTGCATTTTTTATATATATAATAAAGTTTTAAATATAAAAAAAAAACATTATCACCACATGAAATGTTTTCAGTGGAATTCATTTCAAGTAAAATTTTAAGCTCCCAAAACACAAAAGCTGACTGTCATGTTTGCATGCCTCACTGATGGGACCAAACTTCCCCATACGTGATTTTAAAACGTAAGACCGTACCCAGATTTCAAAAGTAGATAAAGATTATTTCACTTCTACTGTTAATGAAATTTATTTAGGCTACATGGTTTTCACTATGAGATGGATAGCCTAATTGTTATTTAATTCAGATGGCCTACAGGTTATTTTTATGGTATGCCAAAAAGTGTTTATTTTTAAATGTGATCATTGGTACATGTTACCAGTATTTACCATACTATCAATGCAAAAATTAAAATATGAAGAATCTGCAGTATGAAAAATTTCAAATAAAAGCATTTTCTTAATCGTCTTATATTTGAAACAATGTGCACTGTCCTTAAATAAATAAGTGAAATGAAATGAAATTTTTGAATTTATAAAAACATATTAACCCTCTGGGGTCCTTCGGCCCAAATGGACCTGAAGCATTTAAATATATATATATTTTTTAATCATAGCTTTATCGGAATGGTCCGAAATTTGGTGACTTTGTTGGCACTTGCTATATGAACACCCAAAAAAATTGGGGACAGGATTTGAATAGTCTAAGTGGTTGTAAAAAAAATAGTCACACTCAGGACCTTCGGGTCCAAATGGACCCGCATAGGAAATTAATGGGAAATTGGCAAAAATGTGAAAATACAGAGTTTTTTTGTGCGTACAATCTACAAATCAGCCACGATCCAGAAAAAAAGCACACAACAGTGAAGGGGTGAATGTATAAAACATCAAGAGTGCAAAACAGACACATCCACACACACACACAAACACACTTTTATACACATACACACTAATAAATTCAGATTACATATGGGTTTTGAATTTTTAAAATGCTCAGTTTGTCCACCAGATGGCATCCATCTCATTTCTAAAATTGCTTTCATGAGGCCTAGGCTTGACTCTTAAATGAAATACAGCTTTAAAAAAAATTCTATTATATTCAATGGGGAAAAAATGGGTCATAATTATTGCATTAATATTAATTATAAATCATTTTTATTTTTGAAATTATCTCAAAACACCAAAAAATAAAATAAAAAATATTATAAAAAACAAGTAAAAAAAAAAAAAAGATGTTTTTTTTTTAATAAATAATAATCCCACCCTTCCGGCACATTTGGACCCGAAGGTCCTGAGTGTGACTCTGAAATGAAGGACCCCAGAGGGTTAAAAATAACATCACATAAAATAATATTTTCAGTAGAATGTTTAAACGCTCACTGAATTGCCTTTAAACGCGTAGCATTAATCAATGTGTTGAGGTAACTTCCGCTGAAACAGGAAGACAGGGCGGGACATATTGAACAGCTCCTCCCCTTTTTCAAATAGCCAATAGCGTTTAGTTTATATCACAGCTCGGCCAGAGCCGCTGAGCTCGGTAAACCGTTTCCTCCTAATCTCTTACTGTTTCTCCTCCTAATCTCTGCCATGTCGCTTTAAAATATAGCATTCCTTGCAGAATTCAAATGGATCCGATATGTGTTCTAGTATGCACTGACTCGCGCGTATGATCCGCTCTGTGCTATCGTGTCTCTGAACCGGAGCAGACTGTGTGCGCGCGCAGTGCCTGTGTGTCTAAATGCCAATTGTGTCATTGTTTTGGAGCACTCTAGCTTAGATAACAGTAAGGCCAACATATTCATACTAAAAGCCAAAAAACTTAAATTTTGATTTCATGGTGACATTTTCCTCATCGAGTTTGACTCATTAGCATACTCTAGTGGTTCATGTTTTTTCCTCTGGTTCTTTTTTTTTATATATAGACCGTATGTTTTCCTGATGCTGTAGGGCAAACATCTGCTTTCCAGCCCATAAATAGTTAAATGACATCTCACCAGGATTTTTTGCCAAAGTTTGTGCAAAACTTTTTTGAAGTAAAGGAGATGTGCAGAGTCTCGGGAGGTCTACCGATGATTCAAATCATCCCACACAACAAAATGGCATCCAGCTCATCACCCCAGAGTTGTGCAAAGTAAACACAGAACTGGCTAATTGCGTCGAAGTTGGTTTATCACGAACACTCTACATTTTAATGAATTTTTGAGCAATATTTAAGTTCAAAATATTCCAGTGCTCAGCCAAGATTGGAGTTATGGGATTTTTCGTGGGGGGATAAGAGGCTTGAATATGAACTAAGGGGAAAAAACATGGAATATAGTCATGGAGGACATAGAAGAACATATTCATTATAAGATTATAAATTAAAATGTTTTAATTTAGTATTATGGTCCTTGCTATTTGCTAGTCACCTTCCCCTCCTCAGCTAGCTTTAACATGCTAAAAGTGTGTTTGTTTTCCTATTGAGCTTGCCAAACAGGGCTGTTGTACGTGTTCATGTATGTTTTACCTTTTCAATGCATCTTCTGTCACTTAGCATGATAGCTGAACGGCCACGGACTGGCCAGTATTTAGCGCAGTCTCCGTGACAACCACAGTAGCGTGCTTAACCTTCATCCGTAACCCCTCTCTGGGATAAACAGTCTTTCTATTTGCATTTCCAATCTAGTCCTCTCAATCCACACCTCATCCCCTTTGACGAGTCATAAGGAAGTCGCTCCCGCGCAAGGTTTATTTGTTTTGGTCTGTTTTGACTTTGTGCTACTGGCAGGCTGATTGAATTCAGTTTTGTTAAACTGTCTCCCCTTATCTGTCGCCATCACAAGATCTGATTGCTTTCTTCCCTTCTGCTTTAAGTGACAAGACTGTTTAGAGGTGCCTGACAACTGAGGCATGCAAATTAGCACTTGATGGTGTCTTAAAGTCATGTCACATTTCACATTAATATATTTATTTATGTACAGCTTTAGCTTATTCATGATTTCCTCTTAGCTCTGCGGGGTAGGCAGCTGTGGGGTGTTATTTTAGATTTTTAGTTTATTTATTTTTATCCCATCAAGTTGCAGTGAATTATCTAGCTCTTAAAGGGACAGGTCAGCAGTTCAAACTCAGTAAACTGAGTAAATTGTTTGTCTCTTTTCAATATAATGGAAGTAATTTAGATTTTAAAAAAACACCATAAAATTAGTATACAAGTATCCTGTATGATTTATTATATATTTGAATTCTATTTGCCATCCAAATAGCTTTGTGTCAGGATTAGACCGAAATTAGTTTGTTATTCAGTGAATCTTTTCCCATCTGCTCTAGCTCTCCTGGCACATTCAGGAAAAAAGTAATGTAAGGTGTAAATTATAAGTGACTTGTTCATTTTAATCCACAGATCTATTTAAAAAAACAGAACAATTCTAATTTGTTCATGAATCAGATTGACCTGGTTCTTAATAAAAGAAAGGCAGTCATACAAGTTTAAACAACAACATGAAGGTGAATACTGTAAATGATTATAGAATAAAAATTTTTGGTTGAACTATCCTCTTTAATGGTATACATTTTAGCTTTGGGTCAACCGGCCAAGGTCTGTAGCTTCCATTTCTGTGGCAGTGGCAGCTCTTATCACATGGTGATCTCATCCAGAGAGGGGATTTGGACCAAGCATGTGTAACATGAAAACAGGCAATCTCATGATGCACACACTACGCAGGAAAGAGAGGGGGGGGGGGGGGGGAGAAACACTTTCACACTCTGCTGGATATTCACACCCACTCTAGCTGTGTTTTTCCACCTGTTCTTCATTGTGCACTCATGTAAGTGTGAGATTGTGGGTTTAGATGATGCAGGGCTGCATCTCTGTTTTAAGGCAATGGACAGTAGTGCCATTTTTCCAGTTTTTTATTTATTTATTTGTTTACAGTTGTCTGTTGCTCCCAGATGGATGGATGGCAGAAGTTATAGGATGTATGGAGGGATAGCAGACATTAAAAGACAGACAGACAGATGGATGGATGGCAGAAGTTATAAAATGGATGGAGAGATAGCAGACACAGACAGATAGATAGATAGATAGATAGATAGATAGATAGATAGATAGATAGATAGATAGATAGATAGATAGATGGATAGATGGATAGATGGATAGATAGATGGCAGAAGTTAATGGATGGATGAAGTTATAAGATGGATGGATGGATGGCAGAAGTTATAGGATGGATGGATGGATGGATGGCAGAAGTTATAGGATGGATGGATGGATGGCAGAAGTTATTGGATGGATGGATGGATGGATGGCAGAAGTTATTGGATGGATGGAGGGATAGCAGACATTATTAGATGTATGAATGGGTGACTACTGACATTTTTTTTTTTTTTTTTTATAACTTAACATATTTTACACTCACCAGAAAACTGACCAACTCAACATGCCTATTGTCTGCCATCACCTCATACCTGCCTCTCTTTCAGTCTCCAACTCAATTCTCTTTCTCTCTGTCCCTCTGCAGTCCAAAGCCAGAATCTCATAGCGGACAACATCTCGGTAGTGGAGGGGGAGACAGCCACCATAAGCTGTCGAGTCAAAAACAATGACGACTCGGTCATTCAGCTCCTCAACCCCAACAGACAGACCATATACTTCAAAGATGTCAGACGTGAGTTACACCTAAGCATACTGTATGCATTGCACACCCACACACAAACAGGCCACGCGTCCCCATGAAGCCTCCCCAGTGGAGCCGAAGTGTTAATGCATTAGAGTAATCCACTGCGCTTTTGAGGGCAGTCGATAGAGAGACCCAGCTGGCTGGTGAGGGCATGGGGTTTTTTTTCAGCAATTTGCCTTACTATCATGTGATCCATCTTACACAAGACCGCTCTGATATTTCCCTACAGCTGCACTGTGTAATTATAGCAGAGTCTTTCTAAAGGGTTTCATCTCTTCCACCCCTCTATGAAATATTGCACCCAACGGTCCCATGTCATATGCAGAAAAGCACTTTGATTATGGTATTTTCTTTGCGCAAAAAGTTGCAGCAGGAAGCATTTTTAAGTAGTTCCAAAGTGCTTTCGAGTTCAGTCTGAGTTCAATCCGGCTCATATCAGATGGTGTCAATATAGGTGGCGCCTGTCTCCACAAACGGTCTCTGGAAAGGTCTGTCCTTTTTATTTCATGGCTTTTCTCTGAAATAATGATAAGCTTCGCTGAGGTGCCAGACCGATTCATTTTCATCTTTTTCTCCATAAACGCCACTGTGGTAAAAGAGTGTCCCAGTCAAGGGGAGTGAACGGGAGAGCCATCAGTCACCTGAGGGACTGTCCTCATCAAGTAACGGTTAAAGTAATTGTGTGCCCGGTCCTCAGAGTTTGGATTACGGTCTTCTGAACCGTAATTTTATCTCTCAGCTTCCAATCATTAGCAAGGCTCAGACTCCAGGTTTTTGGTCCGTGCAAGGCTGTAATTATCACCCGTCTTCTTAATAAAACTTTGATGGGCTCTTCTCAAAGTAACCGTGGCCGGTAATCAAAATTGATTGCTGCCATTTAGGAGAAGCAGCATGTGTCCTGAAGCTTCTAGGATTAAACCTGAGAAAACAATACAAATGAGATTCGGAAGAGGAGCACAAGAGCAAAGGAAAGGAAATGAGACTGCGAGCGAGCGGGAGAAAGTGAGGGAGACATAAGCATAGAAAATAGAATACATTGATACACAAAGAATGTTTATTTCAACATCTCGTTTGTGGTTGCTTCAAGTGGTCCACTACCTAACAGCAGTGAACCAGGCATGTTTTTTCTTATTTTGTCCGTTTAATTAATATGTAATTCTAATAAATTATAATGTAATGCGCCTTTTTTAATTTTTTTGTATTTTCTATAATTTAGGTTAAAGATTTATATTTAAAAATATAAACCGAATAGAATCTGATAGTACTTTGCTAGTTTTTGGAAGCAAATAAGCAATAGGTTTGCTCAAGTCTCGCACCTAAAACAATTCTTATTTTATAATAAAAAAAACTAAAAAAAACATCATATATATATTAGGGCTGTCAAACGATTAATCGCGATTAATCGTTTGACAGCCCTAATATATATATATCAAACGATTAATAGCGATTAATCGTTTGACTGCCCTAATATACACTCACCGGCCACTTTATTAGGTACACCTGTCCAACTGCTCGTTAACACTTAATTTCTAAGCAGCCAATCACATGGCGGCAACTCAGTGCATTTAGGCATGTAGACATGGTCAAGACAATCTCCTGCAGTTCAAACCAAGCATCAGTATGGGGAAGAAATTTGATTTGAGTGACTTTGAACGTGGCATGATTGTTGGTGCCAGAAGGGCTGGTCTGAGTATTTCAGAAACTGCTAATCTACTGGGATTTTCACGCACAACCATCTCTAGGGTTTACAGAGAATGGTCCGAAAAAGAAAAAACATCCAGTGAGCGGCAGTTCTGTGGGCGGAAATGCCTTGTTGATGCCAGAGGTCAGAGGAGAATGGCCAGACTGGTTCGAGCTGATAGAAGGGCAACAGTGACTGAAATAACCACTCGTTACAACCGAAGTATGCAGCAAAGCATTTGTGAAGCCACAACACGCACAACCTTGAGGCGGATGGGCTACAACAGCAGAAGACTCCACCGGGTACCACTCATCTCCACTACAAATAGGAAAAAGAGGCTACAATTTGCAAGAGCTCACCAAAATTGAACAGTTGAAGACTGGAAAAATGTTGCCTGGTCTGATGAGTCTCGATTTCTGTTGAGACATTCAGATGTTAGAGTCAGAATTTGGCGTAAACAGAATGAGAACATGGAACCATCATGCCTTGTTACCACTGTGCAGGCTGGTGGTGGTGGTGTAATGGTGTGGGGGATGTTTTCCTGGCACACTTTAGGCCCCTTAGTGCCAATTGGGCATCGTTTAAATGCCACGGCCTACCTGAGCATTGTTTCTGACCATGTCCATCCCTTTATGGCCACCATGTACCCATCCTCTGATGGCCACTTCCACCATGTCACAAAGCTCTAATCATTTCAAATTGGTTTCTTGAACATGACAATGAGTTCACTGTACTAAAATGGCCTCCACAGTCACCAGATCTCAACCCAATAGAGCATCTTTGGGATGTGGTGGAACGGGAGATTCGCATCATGGATGTGCAGCCGACAAATCTGCGGCAACTGTGTGATGCCATCATGTCAATATGGACCAAACTCCCTGAGGAATGCTTCCAGCACCTTGTTGAATCTATGCCACGAAGAATTGAGGCAGTTCTGAAGGCAAAAGGGGGTCCAACCCGTTACTAGCATGGGGTACCTAATAAAGTGGCCGGTGAGTGTATATATGATGTGTTTTTTTTGTTTTTTTTATATATATATATATAAAATAAGAATTGTTTTTAAATAAGAATATAGCAAAAACTGAGGTAGAGTGTATACAGCCCTCAAAAAATATTATATTTTAACCACAAAACTTAGAACTCCAAAAATGGGTTTTAGAAAGTGGACATTCAAATTTAGATTAAATTTGGACATTTTATATTCCTAAGCAAGTTGGAATGGGAAGGCTCTTTGGAGCTTTTGGCTTCTTAGTAGGTGAAGAAAATGTGAAGATAAAAAAGGAAACTGTAAGAATCTTTGGCAGTCTTCAGCACTAGTTCAGCAGGAGGCATTAACCACTGTGGAGTTTTTAAAGCACCTCCTCCTCTTTACACACCTCTTACACCCCCCTCCTAGTGCGAGCAGAAAGCAACATTTATTCATTTAAGTCCTTTTCACGTGACTCACGTCAGGGCACTGCTTTGACCTCCACGTGAAAGATGTTTCAGATAATGTCAAAGAAGGGCGGTTTACAGGTTACTGTGTGCAAGTCGGTGTGATGAGTAATTTCCTGTTGCCTTGTACTCTAAAACATCACTAGTGAGGTGAAATTGTTGGACCCGTTATTGCGCAGACGGACATTCTATGCGTCATACAAATTGTTTGGCGTTCATTGGCCATGCTCCAGGAGGTCAGTGGCAAATGGGGTCAAAATTCCAGTAGTTTGATCTTTAAATGTGGCATTACAACTATATCTGACTATACTTTGAGTTTGATGCGTTGAAGAACATTGCCACAAGACCCATAAAGGGCCTTAAATGTTTTCTAATGACGAGTATGTCTCTTTATGTCATCTTTTGAGATAAGGACAAATTTCAGGTTTATTCGCTGAAATCGCTATGTAGCAGTGCATGTGGGCTACCATGATATTTCAAGTCTTCTATTGTCTCTGAAATATGCCATGCTGAGAGGACACAAAGGTGTGACAGTGTTATTTCACATTGTCTTTTTGTCCTTGCTGCATGTAATCTTTTCTCTTTTTTTAACTTCCTGAGCCTTTCAGATCCTGTATGACATATGCTGCCCAATTTATATATGCCTGTCCGCATATGTTACGACACTTATTGTGATGAGAATTAAAACAACGAACAGAGACCAGCATCCCCGTTCCCCAATGCCCTCAGCCCAAATGAAAGTCTGAGAACATAATACAGGTTAAAGCCTTGTAAAAATCCCCAGCAAATGAAAGACCGTTTCGAAAAGCAAAAAAGGAACACGGAGTGCAAAAGCATTTGTCCATGCTTTTTTCAGGGTGATAAGCTTTAAAGGGTTTTGTCAGGCAGAGAAGCTGGTTTACTGGGCAGCATGCCCTCAGAAGGGACTGGAAACCACGCTGAGCTTCATTCTCCACCGCTCCCACAGCGCGCTGGATGTAGCTGGCCGACAGAAACGTTCCCTCTCATGGCGGTGGGACAACCTCCTGGGGCCCTGCAAGCTCTTGCTGTCATCATGTCCGGCGCTGTGTCCGAAAAAGCTACAGCAAGTAGCAGAGGGCATGTATGCAGTCAGACATGCTGTTATTATTTGGGTCACAAAGCGCTGATTTTTTTCCTCAAGGTGTCGACTTTGTTCATCTTTCTATTTTTCAAAAAATAAACTAGAGGAAGTATGTAAATTTTGTCTGAATGTCCTGAAGGCATATTATTTTTACCACTGCCTGTTTGTGCACTTGGCATACTTTTCTCGTTTACAGTTAACATGAAATCAAAATTTACCCCCTTTACCTTTTTCCTGGTCTGATTAGGAATGAATAATTGGTGCGTATTATCCAAACACGTGCAACTTTCTTTTTCAACTGCTGTCACTGATCTCTCCCCTTCAACCTCCTGTCATGAAGGCCACTTTTTACTTCCTAATTGGCACTTCTGTTTTTCCTCATTGAATACCAATTGAAAAACTGTGTTAAAATAGAAAACGCATATACAATTTTTTTTATTTGGTTATACCACGTGGCATAAAATTTTTCTTGAAAATGGTATAAAAAGTTTTATACACAGTGTATATATATATATATATATATATATATATATACAGAATCCAAATATATCCAAAATGCTACAGCTAGAGTGGTCTTTAACGAGCCGAAGAGAGCACACGTCACTCCTCTCCTCACAAAATTGCACTGGTTGCCAGTTGCATCAAATTCAAGTCACTGACTTTTGGCTACAGAACAACGACTGGCTCTGCTCCCTTTTACCTAAACTCATTACTTCAGACTTATGTGCCATCCAGAATCTTGCGCTCTGCAAGTGAACGCCGTCTTGTGGTGCCATCTCTAAGAGGCACAATCTCTTTCTCAGACCTTTTCCTGGTCTGTTCCATGCTGGTGGAATGACCTACCCAACTCAACCAGAGCTGCTGAGTCCGTGACCATTTTCAAGTAATGGCTGAAGACGCATCTTTTTCGGCAACACTTGATCCATTAATACTAACACTTTATCTTCTATTCTATATCTGTTATCTTAATTATAATTTTTTTTAAAGTACACGTACAACTGGGAAGGGTCATAGCACTTGCATATTGTTGTCCTATTGTTAGTTTAACTGCTTCTATTGTTCTCATTTGTAAGTCGCTTATATATATATATATATATATATATATATATATATATATATATATATGATTGCATGCGTTTTAACCCGTTTTTAAAGGGTTTTTTTTTTTTTGTCATGGGCACTCTTACTTTTCATTGACCCACATACCAGTGAAATAGGCTGTGATCAGTCTGTTGCCTGTATATATTTTCTCAATTCTTCTCCAGAATGAAGGGGAGTTTCTTTACCTCCTCAGCTTACACGGTTTTATTCGCCTCACTGAAATGGGCTCCCTAGTTTCTTGCCCTCTCATTTCCCAATTAGAGCTGACACCACACTTATTCATGTTTTCATAATGCTCTAATTATTGCTGTCTCTCCACCTGACGCACAGTCACAATAGATTATTAACCGTTTTGGCTTCTTGCACCTTATCGGTTTATTTTAATCCTCACATTTCCCCAATCAATAAATTGAATTAAATCATTTGCTTCTGCCTTCCCTCCCCTTGACAGCCACATTCCCGCTTTCTGGCTGCTCTAATTAGTCGCACATTATGCGGCTGCTAAATGTAAGGCGCGGTGCTTGGTGTTTCAAAACAAAGACCACCACAATGGCTGCTAGAGATCATAGCGCTGCTGATGGTCCGCACATTTCAGTTTGGAAGTGTGTGGCTTTATTACTCCCAAGCTCAGACATGTACCTGAATAAACTGTGCACACACTTTCATTCAGTGGAATATAGATGTAAAAACTACATGTGCGTAATGTTTTATTTATTTGTATTTTCACTCTGAGGCTACGCCGCCCTGACATCATGATCAAAGGTGAGAAATGTGTTGCCTTGGCAGCAGGGTCTTCCAGCGTGGCCTCCACGTGCGTGCGCAGTGATCTGTGAGAGAAATGGACCTGAGAGACTGAGCTCGGCATCTCACACGCTGTGGATGACAGCGGCACGTTCGGACAGGGGGCTTGCAAGTATAAGAAACCCGCTCGTAATAGAGAATGGTGAAGATCTTTTTCTTTTTTTGTTGTACACAGACTTCAGCTCTTGTTGAGCAATATGTTTTATCCCCCCTCTCTCTCTCTTTCCCTCTCTCTCTCTCATTCTCTTTCTCTTTCTCTTTGTATCTCTCTGGATATTTTTTCTTTTGAATGAAGGCAAAAGAGCATGGCTAACCAGCTGGATCCAAGAACAATCAACACCCCGCGCCATCAGGGCCTGCTTTCATGATCCCATCGCCTCAAAAATCTCTAATCATGCCCGATTATTTCTTTATTTTTTTCGCCTTTTATTTATTTATTTATTTATTTATTCATGGACCTCTTTTTGTGCTCCTTTGAACTCGGCTGTTGCGGACGAGAACAAACGCATGCGCGAGTACTCTCGGTGTCATAAATGGTCTGTCGATCGGCCTGGAATTTATCGGCGGGTGTGGGTTGCCAGTAGCCTTTCATTTTTCTCTCTCTCTCTCTCTCTCTCTCTCTCTCTCTCTCTCTCTCTCTCTCTCTCTCTCTCTCTCTCTCTCTCTCTCTCTCTCTCTCTCTCTCTCTCAGCACCATTTACTTTTCACGCTCAGCCTCCCACACAGGCAAAACGAGCCCTAATGGACTCCTCATTATTCTGGGACGAAAAAATTCCGTTCCTCCACATAATTGGGAGAAAGAACCATAAGTCAGGATCAGCGTGAGATTCTCAGTCGCGTTGAAACTTAATCTGCTGCAATCTGGGGAAGTGCCTGCCATAATCAATACAGGCGTTTTTGTTGTTGTTGTTGTTTTTTACTATATATCTACAGCCAATGAACTTGCTGCTCAACATTTAAATGGCTGGATACCATTCACTATAGCCTAAAACTATAGGCTAAAACCCTCCAACTTCCCTGGGTCCACCTGTATAGATCTGCTATGTGTGCAGTAGCAGTATGTCTTACATACTCACAGCAGCATATTGGTCTATGTAATTGGCAGCAGCAATAATCTACAACAACAGCAATAATCAACAGCAGCAGCAATTCAGCAGCAGCGTAGCAGTTAACATTGTAATATCCATTACCATGCTAAAAAGAGTTGTCATGATAGACACATAATTAAGATATATAAGGGGAGGGATATATTAGGCAGCAAGTGAAAAGTCATTCATTGTGTTGGAAGCAGGGGGAGACCAGAAATATTCAAGGGGGTGGGCCTTCATAAAGCAGGGTGGGCAAAGTGTAGACTCGAGTATTGAAACTGCGCACCAAATTACCAAGAAAAAATATAACGCAGCACAGTTTCAAGTTCAAAGTAAAAAAAAAAAAAATAATTTAAAAGCCAACCAGAACAACTTATTAAAACTACACTGAAAATTCCACTGATTTCATCTTGGAAACTTTCTGTTGCTGATTTAAATTAAGTATAATCAAATTTCATGTACAAGTCATTTAAACGTAAATTATTTTAAAACTGACTTAAAAATCTAGTATAACTTATAAAAGAAAGTTAAACTGCTTAAATTATTTGTATGAGTTAATTTAAAAACATATGTTGCCATGACTTATTGCTCATTTAATTTTGAAATGAGCAATGAAAAAAGCACTGAAAAAAATATAAACAATGTTTTTATATATATATATATATATATATATATATATATATATATAAACATTGAGAAAATGTTTGTACTTACTTTACATGTCCTCCTGCAATATTAACCTAAGACGACGGAACTTCTGATTAAATACGGAGATTAACTCATCATAATCAAGAGTCTTTCTCAGTTTGTGTTAAATAAACTGCCCGGATTCATTGCTACTTTACTTTACTTTACTTTACTTTATACTTTATTTGTCCCTTAAAGGGAAATTTGTTTTGGGCAATACAGGTAAAAGCTGCATAACAAGATACTCACATCAATACCATAACAATCACACAGTTGTGTCCTTTGCACCATAGTTTAACAGCCTTGTAGCCAAGATTAGACTTGACTTGCTAGACTTGGTTTCTTGCAGCAGTACAATTGGGATATACAATTTAGGTTTTTTAAAGTATTAACTGATTGATATTTGCTTCGCTATTTCCAAATCCAACTCCACAAATGCGCAACTCTTATTATTACAAATTTTACAACTTTGGATTGTAAAGATAACATTCTGAACAAGACTAACAGAAACTGACGAATTATATTTAACGTATTTGATACATTTATTATAAGTATTATTGTTTATTAAATTATTTCATACATCAAATTGGAAAATTATGTGGGGTTTTCCCAGTATGACTTATTAATAACAAAAGTGGTGCAAGTAAGGACAACTGGTGAACCGGCATCAGGGTCATGGAACATTAATGAATGTGGGGAGCGAAGGTTTACCTACTGGTCTGATCACGCAGAAGAGCTACTGTAGCTGTAAAAATATACTGTAAAAATATCATGCTACCATGATAGAAAAGAGTCAACCCGGCGGTCATAGTGCCCATAATGCTGCAAGTGCCTAGTTTGTTTACTTAGTTACTAAGGTAACGTTTACAGTGCCAATAAAATCATGCTTCAGATGAAATATGAGATGTGTTTAGAAAAACAAAGAGATAACAAGATAAATATCAAGTGTAAACAGAATATTTCATTGTGCAAAAAGTGTGAAAATATTGAAATTACTGTCAAATTACGTCAATTTTAATCCAAAATTTGCATGTATCCACTGTTGGATATTGCTAGTTGAGAAAATGAGCATATTTTATTGGAACATACTTGCTAAAAGTCCACAGAGACAAAAGTGCTCATGAAACACTCGCGTAATGTATATGCTCACCACAAAGCAAGAACTTTTTTCTCTTAGGCGTTAAAATGAAAAGGCACTTAGATGTCACAGTGGTCTAGCATGGCATGTCCCATGGATACTGTCCCTGTTTCAAATCCCAGTGATACAATGCTCAGGTCAGATGATGCTAGAAATAGATGCGCCCGTGTTTCTCAATGTGAAGCAATCTCAATCACTTTGGTTATTCCCATGGAGCACCTATTAACTAATCTGAAGAATATATTGTAGCCTGCATGTTTGCTACACTCCCCTGTTGTCAGTTATAAGCAATAGCTTAAAAGAAGCATATGGCTGCTTTTATTTCCCTTAGTGGAAAAACAATCTAGACTTCAAATGGGAAAAATACTACTAATTATCTCCTACATGTTTCTATTGTTCCTTGTAATGGAAGTGAAGTGTGAAGATGTGACTTTTCATTCTAACATCTGCTGTCTTTCTCTATCGACCCTCCAGCCCTGAAAGATGCTCGATTCCAGCTGGTCAATTTCTCAGACAACGAGCTGCGTGTGTCGTTATCCAACGTGTCTCTCTCAGACGAGGGCAGATACGTGTGCCAGCTCTATACAGACCCCCCACAGGAAGCCTACGCCGACATCACTGTGCTAAGTATGAACACTCATGCACACATCTATATAATATACAGCCCCTGCATCTCTGGTGACCCCACATAGAGGCATGACCTCCAAGGTTGAGATCCACTGGACTAGACAAACTGAAACTTTTGTTTTGACCGTCAGATTTCCCATAAGGCACTTGCCGCATCAACAAACACCCACATATACACACATGCAGGGCTTCTTTGTTTTCTGACGAATCCTTTTATGATCAATCACTAGAGTGGAGCAGCTTTTATGAGATGCTGCAGCAGTGTAGAATCAAGATATAGCCATTCATCTTCACCGAACAGAAGGCCTGAGACGCGGCCAAGCCAGATCCTGAACGTCGAGTCATTCATATTTCAGAATGAAGCCAGTGCTCGACACATGCGCGCGCGCGCACACACACACACACTTTCACTGCTGTTTGGAGGGGCTCCTGAAATCTCTCTAAAAACTCAAACACTTCACCTGCTACTTCCTTTGAGGACTCAGCTGCATGGTGGGGCCATTCAGTGGAATTATTGTTTACGTGTTTGTGCGTGTGTGTCTTTGTGTACATGTGAACGCTTTGCTGCGTTTTGCATCTTGACATAACTGCATGGAAAAATCACCCGCACTTAAAAGTGATTATTCCGTTTTGAGTTTAGTGCGGGGTGGATATTGACGGAGCGGGATTGTAGAGAGCTCGCTGAATGCAATCGAGTGGCTGGTTCCAGAGCTTCAGACGCCCAAGCTGAATGCTTGAATAGAACCCTGCTGCTCAGGGGGAACAAGAAATCTCTACTACTCAATTACCCTGTCCTACATGACGCATCGAAATCAATCAAATATCACAGCCAATCAGAAGAGAGTGTGGGCAAAGTCTCTTATTCAACAAAATGAATAAATACATTAACTAATTAATAAATATCAAATCATTTTAACATTAATAAAAAATAATTAGTTACTGAAACAATCTTTGTCATAGAATACACTTGTTTGTTCACAGTTTGAGCATTCTTTTATTTTCAAGATCTAAGGTGAATTATTCACTTTGGCAGTAAGGTTATGCAAAATGATATTCAAATTCACATTAGACCCTTTTAAGATGACACGAAGCACATAATCAGTACCTGAGTTTATCATTGTAATAATTTGTATGTTGTTGTTCCAACAACGATGCTGCAAAAATAGAAACCTTTTCTAAAATAGAAACCCCTGTCACTCTTTGTCACGGCTGGTTAGAACAAAAACTCTGATTAACATGGAAAAGATACTTTTATCACGCCGCAGTGTTGTCACGTCATGTCTGGTTAGATCACTGTGTTGCAGTGCTTGAAGAAGGGTGTTATCCTTGTTACATATTGCCTGTGAACATTCACAATTATCCAGGTCAGTGTAGAATGTTCTTGTAGTTTTAGTCTAGTCAACTGGCTGTGTTGCTTTCTGTTGCACAATATGTTCCATTACTAATCGTGTTGTAGTCACAGTTCTTCATAGTATGCACTTTGTCTGGGTACCCTCCTTTATGTCATTTGTAAACGAGAATGAATACACTCACCCCTTCATATTCTATAATGTGTCCATCCCTAAGTGTTAGTGTCTGTGTTAGCTATCAATGCACCCTGGGATGAATGTGACTATAGTGGTGCTTGATTTACAGACTGCCTTGTAAAATCTGTCTGTCCTCTCTCAGTCCCACCAGGAAACCCAATCATAGAGTCCCGTGAGGACATCGTCAGCGAGGGCAACGAGACGGAGATAACCTGCACCTCCATGGGCAGCAAACCCGCTGCAGCGATCAGATGGATGAAAGGAGACAAAGAGCTACAGGGTGGGTAAAGTCACATTGTGTACTCACAAACAAACCAGGTGTTTACCAGGTTTTCTCTCTGCCTTGCAAACCATAGCTGGAGTTGTTCCCTGATGCACTTTCCTCTGAAAATGTATATATTGAAAAGTTATACTTTAATTGAAAACACTAGATAACAACATTTATTAATACTAGCAACACAAATTGTTACATTTTATATAATGCTTAGTCGATCATGTACACCACTGTTCAAAAGTTTGGATTTGTTTTAGTTTTTTAAGAAATTGATTTTATTCAGCAAGGACACATTCAATTGTTCAAAAATGACAGTAAAGACATTTATAATATTACAAAAGATTTCCATTTTAAATAAATGCTGTTTTTGAACTTTCTATTTATCAAAGAATCCTAACAATCAGTTCCTTTTTCAGCATTGATAATAATATCAGCATATTAGAATGATTTCTGAAGGATTATGTGCAGTGTTGGGGGTAATGCATTACAAGTAACACAACTTATATATCCGAGTTACTTTTTAAAATAAGTATCGCAAGTTACTTTTTCCCATTTATAGACTTACACCTCTCTCGTCCCGATGTTGAGAGAAATGGGGAGTCAGGTGCTGTGTGCGCTGTGTGAATATGATGGTTATTGTAGTTCTAGACTTAATGTGAGCATGCATTTACTCATCTCACTTGCACAAAAAGATTCAGTATTCCTCAAAATGAATAAAAACAGTGAAAAGCAAAATCATAATATAACACAAACCTTCAAGAATTAAATGTTAAATTACACACATATACTTTATGTATTTAATCTCACTTTATTATGTGTCTTTGCTGCTGATCTTCGATGATCCAATTCAAACATACTAAGCAAAACTGACTTTAGATAAACATCATATATGTTTAATTTTTTTAGTTTGTATTGGTGAAATAAGAATGTTAAACTTTCTTCTTCTGCGTCCTATTCTTCTGCAATCCAGAATGGCAGCAGAACGGAAAGGTTTGTTTGAGCTGCGCCCTCTACTCTACAGGCGTGAATTTGCATTTCATTTCAGCTTTAGGCTTATTCATTTCACTTTTGGCGTAAAAGGGCCTTTACTTTTGCCAAAATATTACTTTGTTGTTAAAAAACAAACAAACAAGCAAGCGCAGCCCAGGTGAGAAAAAGTAACACAAAAATAATGTAACATTTAAAACATTTCCATAAAAAGTAACTAAGTATATATAAAGCTTTATTGCAGACACAGGTCCATATAACACATCATACAATACAAAAGGGAGATACAAGGAAATACATTAATGAAAATTCCATATTAGCCTATAGGATATACAGGCTATTGCACCAATGTTGTCTTATAATGCAGTTTGTTACTTTTTAGGGAGTAACACAATATTGTAACGTATTAATTTTAACTTTCCCCAACACTGATCATGTAGCACTAAACACTGGAGTAATGGCTGCTGAAAATTCAGCAAGAATAAGAATAAATTACATTTTAAAATATATTAAAATAGAAAACAGTTATTATCTTATATTCTAAAAGTCTGGTCCCTCCTACTATTTTATTTTATGTTATTTTATTTTAGAATAAGAGTAATGTCATCAAGACTATGAAATGACTGAAAGTAGTAATCAAAATTGTTAAATTGGTGTGTGTGTGTGTGTGTGTGTTCATTTATACATTTGAGTTATTTACTCAATTATTACATAGGCACAACATATTTGTCTACAAAACTCATTTCAAGTATTAAAGCAAAAGATCAAATAGTTTTTAAGATCATGAGAAACACAAGTTCATTCAAGTGTGTCCAATCTTTTGACCGGTAGTGTGTACATGTATCCTTTGACATACCCCTTCTCCACATACTTTAGTCCAAAGTTTATTGATCTTTGAATGTCTTGTGAAATTTTCATAACAGTACTAATTATAAACTCAGCAACTCCTTTTCAACATTTGTTTACCTGAACGCTCCTGACAGAAGCTCGGCTCATTTTCCATATCGCTCCGATAGGGTGAGTGAGAGGCCGTACCTTTGACCCGCAGTCGTCTAGACACAGGCAATTTGCGTATTATGTACAAATTACTGCATATAAGCTGTCCTAATAACAGCTACCCAAAATGAGGCGGCTAAATTGGAGTCCTGGACGGATGTTTTCATTTGGTAATTGGCGATAAGCTCAGTCAGGGGTCTCCGTTTCTCTCCACTGGGAGTTTCAGCAGCTATTACAAAGCATTGTTCTATTCATTTGTCAGTGGGTGTTTTGTTTTTATGTAACATCAATATATTATTGGACAGTTGGACAAATGTGGCGCTAAAGAAGAACGAGTTCGCCTCAGTGAGATGGACAGCAGGACATGAATATTCTGTTCTTGAATAGCGAAATGGTTTGAATGGAGGAGGTGAAAGCGATCGAAGAAACCGAGGGACTCCTCTCCTGACTCAAGCAGTGCAACGCTGGCACTCACTGGCTGGAAATTGCTTTTGGCCCCTGCGCCTTTTCGGATTTATTTTTAATTAAATGTCCTTATCATTCAGCCTAATTACCTCTAGGATAATCAGGCTTTTTTAAATATCATTTAAAGGTTACACCCATACAGCCCCAGAATGTAAACTCAGCCGCCCCCATGATGTACTGCCTCATTCTCCCTCTCGCTCACGCAAACACAACCTTCCCAGTCTTATTCATGTTCTGTGCCGCATTTAGTACTTCTGTTTTACATCCTGCTCCATTGTTGATACACACCTGTCTCATAAGACAAGTTGAATGAACATCGAGAAACAATAAGTTGTTAATTTCTTCCTGTCAGACGACGACGGCCTGCTCATTGTGTCATTGCTTAAAAATATAATCTCATTTTAATTAGCCAACTAAGCTCAGCTGAAACACAATGGCTTGATTCAGAATTTGTACTGGCTTTAAGGAAGTTTGCTAAATACACGATTGGCCCCAGATCTCTAGACTGCCCTCTTCGAGGGAGTGACTTTCCATTGGAAGGTGTTGAATAATGGGGGGAAAAGGGGGAGGGCAAATTATAGAGCAAAAGAAATTGAAGAAATGGTGAATTCAATAGGGAACAGGATCTCTTTTTGATATTCAGCCCACTGTATCACTGCAGATCAGGACTAATCAGAGCTCCTTTGCATTTCAAAAAGGGAGATGTTATTGAAATGAAGAAATGCCTGAATGACAGTGATTGACCTGTGATTATCTCTTTATCAGCAGTGACTGTGGCATTGTGAGAGAGAATATAGATGTGCTTCTGGGCTCTCAATGAGCTCTGTGTCTTCTCTTATTTGAGATATGATTGTCTGACTATTCATTCATTGCTGATAATGCTGAATGCAGGGAGAATGAATGCTCAAGACAAGGAATTGTCAGGGGGAAAAAAACATCTGGAGTATTGAGATGGCCAGATTTCCACACAGCAGTGCCATTTCCGGGCATTTTTATGATTTTCGGTAAAATTAGCATTGTGGATTATTGATAACATTTATAACAGTCAAACGATAGATGTAATCTACATATAAACGGCAAAATAAAGATAGAAACCACATATGGTCGGAATGGCAATCACAGACCAAACAAGTATGTATTGCTCATTTGCTGTAATTGCATTTGTATTTTTGTTTTATTCTATTTTTTCTGATAGAAATTAATACGTTCAGCAAGGACAACATTAATTCAGTCAAAAGTGGCACTAACAAAATTTATTGTGTTAAAAAAATTATTTCAAATGCATGTTTTTTTTTTTTACTTTCTATTCATCAAAGAATCCTGAAAAATATGCATCACTGTTTCCACAAAAGTATTAAGCAGCACAACTGTTTTCAGCATTGATAATAAGAACTGTTTCTTAAGGACCAAATCAGCATATTGGGTGATTTCTGAAGGGTCATGTGACACTGAAGACTGTAATGATGCTGAAAATTAAGCTTTGCATCACAGGAATACATTACCATTTACAATATATTCAAATAGATTATTTGATTATTTAAATTGTTAATAATATTTCACAATATCAATGTGTTTTACTGTATTTTGATCAAAGAAATGCAGCCTTGGAGAGCATATTAGACTTTTTTTTTTTTTTTTATCCTACCGACCACAAACTTTTGAGCAGTAGTGTACTTTTCCAATCCTAGAATGAAGGAAAATATTAAATGATAAACATTTTTACTATGTCACGTTGTTCCAAAACTTCCCAAGCAAAAGAAGATAGTTTTAAGAATGAAGTGTTTTTATCCATATAATGACAGTGAGTGGGGTCCAACATTGAATGTACATCCACATGTCTATCTGCGAAAGGTGGGGGAGTGTTTAAGGAAACCGGTTTGAAAAGGTTCAAAATATTTACTTTTCTGATTAGTGGCGCATTAACAATACACTTCACCTATAATAAAGTGTCATTTTTTACCTTCTGTCAGACTCAACTTTTTGTATTTCTTTTCTTTTAGTCTGTCACTCCCACATCGAATTCATTTTTTAATGGTCAAGTGGAATTTTTTTCTTTACAAAAACACGAACAGGACAATAGGTCCCTCTCTCTCTTTCTCTCTCGCTCACCTCTTCTCTTCTCCTTTCTCTCTTTCCACCCACGCCTGTTTCTCTCCACAAGGCCAGAGCAGTAATTGAGTGATGGAGGTCTGTGCGGTGCTGCGAGGCTATTGTCTGGAGCCGCACAATGACTTCGAGTCTTTTGTGTTCTTCATGCCCACTTGATGCTGCTGAAGGAGGGCTACGGGTCAGATGCGTCCACTACAGCCATTATATCTCACTTCATAAAGCACAAACACACCATCACAGCCCACACAGTTGCCAATGAGTGACAGCTGCATAACAAGCCTCAACAGGAAGCAGTTTAGGGCTGTTTTTTGGCCACATGGCCCCTCCCATATGGTCACATTTCAGGTGCTGCTGCAGGGGGCCGTTTACTGTACACATGTCATTGATAAGCTACAGTGAGCCGCCATATGTCACATATGTGCAAGACGTTAGGGGATCTGCTTTGTTTTATGGCTCACAGGATGTGTTACATATACTGTGGCCTTCAATACACTTAGCCACCCATGGTTTCTTGATAGAGATGATAATGAAAGCTGTTAATTTTGAATTCTTTGTCTCTCATTGGTTTCTGTTTCTCACAGGCAAGTCTAAAGTGGAGACCACGTATGACAGGATGTTCACTGTGACGAGCTGGCTGAGGTTTACGGTCACGAGAGAGGATGACGGGGTTCCTGTGGTTTGCATTGTCGACCATCCAGCGGTCAAGGACTTCCAGGCGCAGAAGTACCTAGAAGTACAATGTGAGTGAGCCCACACTTTAAATGTAATATAATATTATTGTTATTTCATTAAAATTATATTATTATTATATTTTGTTAATTCAAAGTGATACCTTTGAAAAGATAAAGGTTTTTTCGGCAGTACAAAATGTTATATAGGACAATGTGATATAGACTTACTATTATTGAATTAAATCTTTAATATTCTTGAATTATATATTATATTATGTGAATATTAAGTATTAGTAATATATATTTAAAAGTGTAACGTTGCTGGAGAAAGCAGGCGAAGGCGAGGATCTATCAGCAGGGTTAATAATGAAATAACACATAGAACAAATAATAAAGAACTCCAAGGACAAAGAAATAAAACCACGAGAAGGACCGAACTAGAAGCAACCATACATGTACAACAACTGACAAAGTAACAAGTAAAACACAAGGGCTATAAATACACAGGGGCAAACAAGCTTAACTAGGATAACAAGGGGGCGTGGTTAATGGGAAACACCTGGGATGACTAATAGACAGACAGGGAACCACTAAACATGACAAGACAAACCCACACCGTGACAAAAAGATCTCTCCGGGTAGATAATGGTGTTTTTTATTTATTTATTTACTTTTTGAACTACAATGTGAGTGAGCGGAGTACAGGGACAGCATTTTAAATATAGATATAGATTTAAATATTAATATTATATTATGTGAAAATAATTTGAAGTGACATCTTTGGATAGATAAGTGTTTTTTTATGTTTTATGTTTATTATTTTTTTAAATGCAATGTGAGTGAGCAGGGGACAGGATTTTAAATATAGATTTACTATTATCTAATTAAAAATGTAATATTAAATATTAGTAGTACAATATTAAATATTGTTTATTTTATTTTATTGTATTTATTTAATTTAAATATATTTAAAGTACACTGATGAGCCAAAACAATATGACCAGTCACAGGTGAAGCAAATATCGTTGATCATTTCCTAACAAGGCTACATTTTTAGGTCTGGGTACATTAGATAGTAAGCAAACAATCAGTTCTTATAATCAATGTGTTTAATGGAGGAGAAATAGGCAGAAATATAGATCTGAGTGACTTTGACAAGGGCCAAATTGTTATGGCTAGTTGCCTGGGTCAGAGTACATCAGAAACAACAAGGCTTGTGGATTGTTCCAAGTCAGCAGTGGTGAGAATTTACCAACAGTAATCTGAGGAACAACAAACCACAAACCGGTGACAGGGTGCAGGGCACCCAAGACTCATCGATGCACGAGGGCAACGAAGGCTTTCCCTTTTGAGTCTGAACCAACTGAAGGGATTTGTGTGACAGGATTTGAAATTTATTGATATAGGATTAGTATTGTTGAATTAATGTTATATTGTGGTAACATTATTATTCATTTAAATATGCTTAATGTCATAGTTTTGACTAGATAAAGGTCTCTCTCTCTCTCTCTCTCTCTCTCTCTCTCTCTCTCTCTCTCTCTCTCTCTCTCTCTCTCTTTCTCTTTGGAGTTAGTTTTTTTTTTTTTTTATCTTTGTCCTTGTGTTAAATCAGTCAGGTCTATCCTTTCCCTTGTGAGAGCAGACATTAGTCCAGCCATGTCACTTGGCCTGATGAAAGATTAAGTGTGTGTTTGCGCTTTGGTGATTCAGTCGTGACAGAGATTCTGCCTCTGATTGGATGAGAGCATTGGGCACTGTCTTCATCCGAAGATACAGATACAATTGTTTAAGATATTTTGTTTGGGTCCTCATCAAGCATATGTTTCTTGGTTATTCTTGCCTGCCACAGGGTTTAGAAGATCACCGGAAAGACTGACTTTACCTGACCTTATTTTGTCAAAGACAACACATCTCCAAAAACGTGCATGATATTTGGGCTCTGGCTTTGGGCATTTACAGCAGAAAAATGTAAAACCATTTTGTCTATGCTATTTAACTGGATTTCGTGCTCACGGGCAGCCTTTGTCATGCTCTGGGGAGAGCTGGTGTAAGAGTCATTGTCTGGCTCACTCTTCTTTCAAATTGTTCTGCTGAAACTGGGAAAACAATCAATGTTAAAAATCATTGAGTGAAGGCAGTCTTAATGGAGTACATTTTTGCAATAGAAAATAGAAAAACATTGCTGTGGATATTAAATAAGCCAGAAATATTGATAGCTACACAATGCAAACAGTTCGTGCAGTTCAGCAGCTTGAGGGAAATTAAATGCTTCGTGATGGCGGTGGTAAGGAATGACAACAATATCTCGTGTCAATAATTGTGTTATTAGAATTAGAGTGACCTTTTCTGTCCGGCGCAACAGCTAGCGAGAAACCGGAGGCCGGTGGCGCTGCTTTCCGTGGATTTAAGGCTTGCGTGGCCAGGAGAGAGAGAGCTTTGGAAAGGAACTAATGCAGAGGAAGCTTCAAAGCAAGAAACTTTCACTCAGAGCCTTTCATGCGAAGAGTTTGAAGATGACAAGGGGAGAAATAGAAGGAGTCTCCATAGAGCTGAGACAAACAGGTGGATATTCCTCTTACAGAACTTCTGAGCGGGGCGCTCTTTTCTTTCTCTCTCACTTCAGACCAGGCTGTCCATCATGGACACAGAAATGTTAGCTCTGACAGGGTGTAATTTGGAAAGATAGAAGGCCAACAGATCACTTTTTGTTGATAGAAGAGGTCAAACAAGCATCAAGTGGGCAAAGCACTCAACAAATTTAGCGATTGCCAAAAAGCCAGTTGAAACATCAGTCCCGAAATAATGTGATAAATCTTGTCAGGACATTGACGTTTTTTAGTTTTTTTTTTTCTCGTGCACTTTAAAAAAAAATCCAAGAAAGTGAAGTCACCGTTCACTCAGAATCCAGTCCATTCAAAAAGTGCCGTAAGAGCTGGTAAAATTGAAAGAGTGGGATCTTGGGGTTATTGTGGGCAACTTTGACATGGTTTCAGTAAAATAGTCTTTTACCCTTTGATTCCACAGGGACACTTAGCATTTCTCTGTGTGGATTTTTTGTAAATTCCTTGGCCCTTATGCATGACCTGCCTCCAACGCAAGGTCTGCTGCTTATCCTTATTTACGCATACTAATGACTCTGGACTATTTACATTAATACAAACCCACTGTTTTACATTAGTGCATGTCTACTGTTTAACCCACATTGCTTGCCAAGTGAGTGCAGTGATGTCATTAAAGTTGCACGTGGGAGCAGCTCTAATATCTCCCGCACCTCTGTTGAACATACACATAACGCTGTTGAATAAGCATCTGTGGAATGCCACTTCAAGCTCCATTACTGGGAGAATATTAGATTTGGGTTCCTTTGAGAAACTAGAGGGCTGGATGCCGGCCAGCCCTGCAATGGAGTGTAGTACTGGAAAGGCATAGCTCAGCCATTACAACCTGTCAGTTTAAGAGGATGAATACCTTCAAGGAAGCAGCAGGAACCTCAGAGCACGCATCTCCTGTGGAGCCCACTTACATAAGCATGGTGAACTTGGCAAGCACACCACGGCCTCCTGTGAATCTTGGGAACTTTAAAGGGATAGTTCACTCAAAAATAAAAAATCTGTCATTATTTACTCACTCTCATGTCATTCCAAACCTGTAGGACTTCTTTCTTGTATCAATTTTGAACACTGTTTCTTCGTTTTTGTCCATACAATTTACTGTTGTTTTGGACGCCACTGACTTTCATTGTATGGACAAAAACAGTTTTTTAAAATATCTTTTTTTGTGTTCCACAGAAGAAAGTATGTCATACAAGTTTGACTTTGCAACATGAGATGAATCTTTGACAATAAAACCAAGAACATGCATTGGGAAAGTAAATGGGGTTCAACCAACTTCAAAAATGGTTCTGGTACAGTCACTAATATTTTTCTACCTGTTGTTCCTTGGATCCATTATGCCTAATGAAAGGCCAGTAACACTTGCTTGCCTCTCAGTATTTTTTATGCTCTATTTTTGTGTCTTTTATGCTTTACTTTCTTGTTGCACTTAACACTTTGTATAATACAAAGGTTGCCGTTTCCTGTTTTTGCCTGTCATGTCCTTATATCTAGAAACACTCTCTGGCAAACAGGAACCTATTTAGTTCTTGCCTGATATTAGACACATTCTACAAAAGCAGCAGAGCAACAGCCTTGTGTAGTCCATTAAATGCCAAGGGTGCTAAATGTCTCTATGATTTTCTTATATAAGCTTTTTGCCATTAAGTTTCATCATGTCATTAGACCGCCAGACAGACCGAACAATCTTATTAGATATCAGAAATTGGCATACAGGTGTAATACTGTTATGCAAGGGGCTTACACAAATGTGCAGTGAATGACCGGCCTGCATGGATGTGTATGTCAGAACAACTTCAGAAGTCGACATTTATGTGAGTAAAGTCTAGTTGACGTCGACTAGTCGCTGATGACGTCATTAATGATTAAATAAGCCTTAACCTCGAGCTGAGACCCCTTGTGCACAGCTATGGCGTATGACACAGCACTGCCCACAAGGCTATTGCTCCTACATACATAACTGTTCTTTTGTCTTTGGGTTGTTATGTTTCGAACAGATTTTTGCTCGTTCTAAATCAAATACAGATGAAGTAGCACAGTAAAGATTACATATTAAATTTGAATGCATTATAGAGAGTGTTTGCGTGTAAATTAATTCTACCTGGCAGCATCTCTCTACTAATAGTGAAGCTGTGGGATTTTTTTACTAAGAAATATATGCTCGAACTTTTCAGTTTCTATGCTATTTTATTGATAAATCACAGAACAGTGATGACAATACATTTCTGTGCTACTGAATGTTTCAGTGTGCGCGCGATCTGCTCGTGATGTGCGAGCTACTGTCTGCATGTGTGTGCATTACAATGTAGCAGCACATTTAGAAACTTACGTGGACAATAAGCTGTTTAAAACGTGCATTCACCCAATCAAGTTTGAGCACCGTATAATCAAACATATCTTGTGAATCGCTCTCAGAGTATACATTTATTTGTCTTTTTAACTGTTGGAAATGGAGTGTAAAAGTGTGCTGCAAAGATTTCAAGCTTATAGTGTCATGGCAGAGCATTAAAGTCGACTAGTTTGTGCAACCCCTAATGTCAGATCCCCTCCGATGTTATTTGAGACACGCAGCGCTGGGTATTTCTACGTGAGAGAGCGTTAGTTATGTGTCCGACGTCAGTTTGAATGTCACCCCTCCTGCTGCACTGTACAAACACAGCAGGAAGTCTAATCCCAGCTGAATTGGAAAAGAACTGAGACTTGCCAAGGAGAAGTGCACATTTCATGCTAAATGTAGCAGCTACGGCTGAGAGGCAAGGCTGACGCAAGGTGCAAAAAGCCAGCAGTATACCTGCTGCCAGTCACTGGAGAATAGGACCATTGAGCGGCCAGTTGTTTTAGAAATGAGAAAGGGCAGTACTTACAGAGCAGAAAGGTCAATGCTGAGAGCGCAAGAGGAATGAGTTTGAATATGGACATTCGTGATGTCATGACTTCTGACTGTATACATGGCAAACATCAGGGTGTATTGATTGTTTAAATGACTCTAAAGGTTAATAGAAAAAAAAAAGCATGCACACATTTTGCATCAAACAATGGTAATGCTAAAAGAATCGACTCAAATGGCTGAGAACAATCCAATAAGCGTTGAACAAAGCCAAGGGTGTTTAAAGTTTCATGCAGCCCGGGGGCACGAGACGCTGATGTGCTTTTACTTTTCTCCCCCACAGATAAACCTGAGGTAAAGATCGTGGTGGAGTTTCCTTCGGGCCCGATTAGAGAGGGTGAAAATCTGGAACTGACGTGCCAGGCTAAGGGCAAACCAGAGTAAGATGCATCTCTCTGCTGTATGTTCTATCACTGACATTTCAATTCAATGGTTTGTTCTGATCTGGATCATTTTGTGTCATGGGCTCTCATCCCTAAGGAGAACAGTCCTCTAACAAAACCCATTGCAAAACATGTATCAATAGACTTAATTATACAACAATTCTGGTCCTGATCTGATTAAACAAGCTGCATTCCAAGATATTTTGTGATATTTTTTACTTTCATTTGAGCCATTTAATAATGGAAAAAAAACCTTGTTGTAGGAACTTTAATTTTGTTTTTCTACACAATGAAAATTTGATCATGTGTATATGCGCCACAACATTTTTGGGGGGGATTTTTACCAAATATTGACTATTAATTACTTTATCTGCCATGTAAAATGAAATTAGTAATGATATTTTACTTTAGTTGAGTACTTGGTAATCTACATGGATAGGTAATATTTGATTAAAAAAATAAGTTTCCAATGTATTTTTATTTGGATTTCTCTACAACCGATTAAGACCAAACTAAATAAGTCATGTAGTCTCAACACAACAAATAATAAAAGTTATGGAATTTGAAATTGAACATATTTTTATTGATTGCCATATAATTACTATTAATCATGTCATGATAATAATTTTGCATATGCCCTTACTGCAAACAAAAATATATACAGTGGCAAAAAATGTGGGCACTTAAGCCAAATCAAAACTCTATGAATGTCATTACATATATCAGAATATCAAACCAAGTGGCATTTGTTGTAAAAAAAATGTAACAAACCAAAAAATTAAGAACGTTCTTAGAAAAGCTTAGAGATAATCACACATTTTATTTGTACAAAAGTATCCAAATATTTCTGGGGGCCACCGCACATGAGCCTAAATTAAGTTATCAATGTAAGTTCAATGAGAGCACATGTAATGAAAGCCATTCAGGTGTTTTTACATTCAACACGCCCCATAACATACCCAAACTGAAATGCTGCGGGCAGACAAGGCACCACCCGAATTCATTTAATAAAGATGAAAATACAATCAATACAGTGAGCAGAAAATTGGAAGTCATTTTCATTAAAGCTTGGAGAGGGGCTGCAGTCATTACTGTCAGACAGTGCAGGGCTTGGCTTGCCATCCCATTTGTATTCTCCGCCTCACGCCAGGTTCTCTGCAGCCCCTCCACTGTGTGTTTTTCCCCATGCCTTCCTCCCAATAAGGCACTTTTTCTAGGTCATTTCTCCCTGTCCATATCAGAAACGTCTGCATCTTTATGCTACGCATGTATATTTAACCTCAGATTGAGACTCTTTGAGATTCCCCACTCGCTGCTCACCATCAAATGTTGTTTTGCCGTCCTCAGTGGCCGAGGATCAACTGCTATTCAACGCGAACCAATCCTTTGTTTCGAAGCTGTAAAGGTTTTTTGTTTTTTGTATTTTTTCCTCTCTCCCCTTTTAAACAGAGGATGGTACGTTTAAACACAGACACAAAAACCAGAACAACAAGGGAAAGCCTCCTCAGATGCTCTTGGGAAATAACTACACTGCAGCAGTGCCATTGAAACTTGTGAGAGCCGAGCAGAGTTTAGAGCCTCTTTTATTTCTCCACAGTAGGTTTAGCTCATTCTGCTCATCACTGTGAAAGTAGAATAGGCTGTTGTGTGCTCGGCTCAGGTGTTTAGAGAACAAAAGGAGATAGCTCGCAGTGGCAGTTAATTGAGGCAGACAAGAGAAAATCACAGCCTTTCGCTTTTTGTTACTTTGCCAAAATGTTGTTCATTTGCCAATGCCGTAGGCTGCGACATTGGTCGAATCCCACAATCTGTGTTACTGACCACAACTGATCATTTTTTCTGAGGGTTGGGCCTCATAGCTGTTTCAGCCTCAAACAACACACACTTAATATATTAACATGATAACAAATTGCACACAAAAACCAAAAGTCGGATTTGCTGGATTCAGTCACAGTGCACAGATATTTAGTCTGCTGGAAAATAAAATAATCTATACAAGTTCCCAGATTGTTGTTTCCAAGGAATTACTAGCAGGGTTCCCCGCATCTTCTGTACAATACATGTCAATGCTATTTTAGTTATTTTAACATTAAAAAGTCTTCTTGATTTTTTTAAAACTAATTTTCTGGAAATTACACATTTAAAATTCCCTCTTATTTCCAGATGTCCCATGGCCATTGTAATCCTGACTAGACTGGTTCATGGCACTGAATCTTTGAAATAGACTCAACTTCTGTTTGTGATCTGTATTGTTACCTGCTGTAAAATGTCCCATAAAACATTACTTGTTGGTCAGACAACCTCTTTGCCTAAGTGACCGGTCCCTTGACCAGAAAAGGCTGTGATGTGAACCAGGCTTGATGGTCTGGCTACACAACACTAGGCCAAAGTCATTTTTGCTCGGTCTCTCCATCCAGGCCTCAACAGGTGAATTGGGTGAGGGTCGAGGATGACGTGCCATCTCACGCAGTTATCACCGGCTCAGATCTCTTCATCGAGAACCTAAACAAGTCCTACAATGGCACTTACCGATGTGTGGCGTCCAACTCTGTCGGTGAAGCCTATGATGACTACATCCTTTTTGTGCGCGGTAAGTCCAAAGTGACCGACTAGTTTTGTCTCTTCGACCTCTTGCTCTTTCACTCACTTCACCGCTCCATCTGAGTCATGGGTCAATAACATTGATTTCAATGACATTTCCTTTCCTCTAGGACACGTTCTAATCTGACCATTTTCCTCTCGGAATTTACTTCTGATATCTTTTGCTGCACTAAGCCTGTGGTGAAATTGCTGTCGTCCATTTTCAGAGTGTAACAATGGACTCAGAGCTATTTAAAAAAGGATTTGTGCTGCAATGAGGATCTTTAAGTGAACAGATATACAGTTTATGTCAGTAGCGAGGGAGGCAAAGCCCAACTAATTCAGATTCATTTCAAGTCATTGTATCAAATGATACTGTGAATAAGCTTTAAAGAAGCCAAACTTATTTTGTTTATGTGTGTCTGTGTGTGGGGGAACATTGCATGTTGTCGGTGGGTCGCCACAGAAACTTGGCTTCGCCGGGGTTGTGCGTGTTCCAAAAACTTGCCCCAGCACGAAGTGCAAATGCGCCAGTAATTGCGACAGGCTTTTCACACGTTTCTCCCATGAGCAACTTGGCAGTCATTCCACGAGAAATTCATGACAGTTGAACCACCAGAATAGAAGAGAGAGTGACATAGCCACGTATGGTGCTGCAAGAGCTCAAATCCCTCCCCTATTAAAAACAGCATTGAAAATAACACTCTATCAGGATGTTTTATGACTTTATGCTGATTTTAATATCTTCACAATTCAACCACATATCTGACATTAGAATTGCTCATGCAGAAACGGGACTGCCCGACAAGGCTGTCACCATTTAATCTAGCATCATGCGTCTCCTTTGTGTTAACAGAGTGACACTAAAATATATTCAACACACACATACATGTGCATGCGCTGGTGACATCTGGGTACTCTATAGTCTTATAATTATTCTCCCACAAATTAATAGGATGACATCTGCGAATTACAAACACAGTGGCCCTGACACATTCAGCAAGACCCACAGCGCTCTTCGCATACTTGGCATATTACACAGTTCTGTCGAGGCACTGTTCAATTAAACGCTCTACTTTACAGAGATGTTAAAGGGAAGGCAAAATGAGCATTTAGCAATCTGTCTCAGTAAGGATACTTTTTCATACAGTCGGCATATGTAATGCATGGCATATTGGAAGGGTATTTGTGAAGCTATTCATGCATGGCCTTATGTAACCATTATAAGGGTTGTTAACACTTTCAGCACTCCTATATAATAATACATCTGCAGATCTAGATGCAACTCAAGTGGCAAGTGGCACCATTCCATCATACACATCAACATAGTCCCACCCATTCTCCTGCATGACTAGTTCCAGGAGGTCACATGTGCACATGCGCATGCATATGTAAAAAAAAAATTTTGCAACCAGTGATCACCATGCACATATTTGTTTTGAGTTGTTTCAAGAGCAGCTTCCAAGAGAAAAGATTCAGTTGGACTGACTGACCAAATTTAGGCATGTGTATGCATGATTTATGCTACAAAGGGGCAGATTTACTAACAGCTTGCTCCAACACAAACCCTCTTTTGGTGTTAAACTAGTGTCAGGTTTTACTAATGACACGCAGTGAACAATTAGCGCTGAAAAGGCGTGGACAGGGTTATTTTTGCGGCTGATCTTATTGCATATGCATTTATAGGAGTTTCTCTTTCAGATGCAAAATGTATGGGAGAAGGCTATTTAAATTAATCATGCAAGGTGATTTACTAAGGTTTGCACTATTCAATTTACTGGTATTTGTGCCATTATTTAACGGCCAAAAAAGCATGTCTTAAACCAGATGCTAATTTGCACTGCTCTTGGTAGATTGCGTTGGTCATTATGGAAATGATCCGGCTGCGTCTGTGTTCTTTAATTTGCACTTCTTCAGTAGATCACGCGCAGAACTTTCCACTCCCATTGGCGCTTTTTTGGAAGTGCGCTCACGCTAATTTGCCGTTTATTAAATCTGGCCCAAAGTTTTAGATGCAATTTATTATCTACAAAATTTGAACAATTTGTTTCAATTTAGTATGATACATTTATTTATTTATCAAAATCAACTTAAATATTTTATTCAACATTTTTATTCTTTTTCAACTTTAATCAGTTTTTCAAAGACTTTTTGAAAATTACATTTTATTTGTTGAACATTTTATTTGTTTATTCATTCAAGTTATCGTAATCATGCAGCTTTAATTTAACATTATGAAATAAAATGTACTTTTAATTTAATGTAATCTTTATTTATTTAATTGGGTGTTTATAATCTGTGCCACCTCAGTTCAAAAGGGCATGCCTCTCCTGTTCCACAGTGTCCGCTTGTGAATGAGCTAGAAAGCATTCAGCGCATTAGAGTTGATATCAGATTCTTGATTTCTGGTAGCAGAGCTTCCTGGGCCCTCGATAGACAGCCAGAACAGATGTACTGCAGAGGCAATTTTTCTCTAATGCGTTTGTTCCCCAACTGTTGTGAAGCTAAGTGATGGAGAACACTTGGAGGGTGGCTGGCACTAAACTGGTTATGGGGAAAAAATACATTCCCTGAGACACTTTTCCAAGGCCCCCATCCCAGCATGCCCCTGCGGGGGAATGAGATCTAACACACCGGCCTGTAACAAGTTTACAGAGCGCCTCTAACCTAATAAAGACTACCTTTGCCTTCACAGCCCTGGCCTTTAATATTGCGCACTCCTCCTCTGCCTGTCACCCTCGTTCACGTTTCCTCTTCGTAACAATTCCTCCATGCTTAGAGGGCTTTCCTTTGGTATCTCACAGCCGCCCAGTAAAAATCGATCACGGCAATACACTTCCTTAACTGCGCTTAGAGTGCCATACTGAACCCAAACACAAACATGATTTTGTTCTCTTGGTGGGTCAAGAATCAGGGTTCCCACAATAAAGTGTTTTCCAGGCCTGGAAAAGTTTTTTTTTTTTGGTTTGTTTTCGTCTAATTATGTTCTGACCTAAAACATTTATTTGGCTAAATATTGCTCTTGGATAGAGTACAACTTTTTAGCAAGTCGGTCTGATTTTTTCGATGAATCTGTCAAATTGACTCACAGATCAGTCTGATTTTTAATCGTATCCAATATTCTCAAATGACCGAAACGGTCTTGAAAAAGATGCCCTGAAGAATGTGTTGTGGCCACAGAGTGCTTGTGGTTATGGAAATGTACATCTGATCACAGACCAAAGTAAAGCTTTGGACTGTGCTTCCTCTGAGGGAATCCCCTGTGTGGTTGTGCAAATAGCAAGCATAAACAGATATTTGTTTTTGTGTAATCCTAAATCCACAATCCTCACACAATGTAGATTCAACACAGCTTGCTGAAAAAACACATTGCATGGAGATTGATAAACAGCCTGATTTTGTGACAATCCTCAGACTTGTTTGAGGCACCTAATTGTCCCTTATATACAACAACATGTGTAGCAGAAGACGAGTACTGAGAAAGAACAGCTGGAGGAACAGCAGTCTTTCTAGCAGTGCATGTAACTCGAGAAGATCCAGCCTCGGTCCAGCGAGCTCAACATATGTAGGGAAAGAAAAAAAATACAATGCACTGCTGTCACTGTGGGTCCAATCCCATCCCTGCGCTGTAATAATGGAGCCGTAAATCACTTCTTTCATACTTTCCCTCAATTCTTAAAGCTCGCTTACTTTTATTCAATTTGTCACATCAGTGTTTCCCTCACAATTCATCGTATTGGTGACGTGCACATTTAAAAGTCAGATTGCCCTGATAAATTTCGCTGCTGTCAAACACGGCCTCGGCAGCCGGCCGTTCAAAAATCTAGTCATCTGTGAATTCAGACATGCAAATATGCCGTATTAGAGTTGGCAATGTAAAACTGTCCTACTGGATGTGTGAAGATGAAAGTATGCATTGCAAATGACGTGCATGCTTTCGTATCTAAGCTCAAACTAGAACATCTGAACTGTCATGCACATTGATGTAAAAGTACGAAGTTTCATAAGCATGGATAATTTGTCTGAACTTTGTGAAAGAAATAACTATGCAACAGTTAACAAGCTGTGTGTGTGTGTGTGTTATAATTATATTAAAGTAATTCAATTATATTATATTATATAGAGTATTATATTATTTATCCTAATCATGTAATTTTTAATTTCAAAACAAAATTATATGTTTTCACCTTATTATTAATTAATTTATTATTATTATTCAAGTTGCATTCATAGAATTTACTTCAGAGTCTTGTTTTTTAGTTAAATTTTTTTTTGGTTTTGGTTAACTTTTGACAATTAAATTGGATTTTTTTTTTTTATTATTGTTTTAATATACTGTATAATAATAATTAGTTGATTCTAATTTGTGTCTGCTCCACATTAGAAGAATTAAAATTTGAATATACTGTAGTATATTTAGGCTACTACATCATAATACATTATTCACCGTAGGACACAGTCAATATTAAATTTAATGAATAGAGTTCATTCATAAACACGGATGCACAACTCTGTCTTTTATGGAATAGATGCTTTTTAAATGTTTTGTAGGAGTTTTCATACTGTTGGGTTGCTTTTAGTGCTGGGCCGTTATCGGCGTTAACGTGCTGCGTTAACGTGAGACTCTTATCGGGCGATAAAAAAATATCGCCGTTAATCAAAGTTGGGTTGGGATCATAAATAGCTTTTTCGAATATCGTTATATTTTCGCGCAATTCTAATGTGTAGTATGACGCCGCGCCTACTGTCACAGATCGCGCAGTAGGGTATTTTCCTGTCAGGGACACAAGGTGTACTTTTACTTTGTTACGTTGGGCGACGTTCCTCTCGTTAATTTATTTTAATGCAATACGTTGTTAAATGAATTTATTCCAAGCGCGCTGTGTCCTTTGTATGGGCATGAGCGATGCTCATTTACAAATGAATCACTCTTTTGAGTCGATTCTGTTCAAAGACTTCATCAAACAAGTTGTCAGATGATCTGTCTAAATCGGTTCGCGAATCAGTTGT